AAAAACCTCTCTGTATCTGAATCTAAGTATAAAAGCCATTAAGAGTAAACTGAACATGCATTTTATATTGCAGTGAATTAAAGAGGAGTTCTGGTTGTACAGTAGAATACAAAACCAGATCTTCTCCAGGTCATTTCCAAAGATAAAAGTACTAATTTGAATGTACAAAGCTATTAATTTTCAGATCACATATCAAAACACAATCCTGCATACTTAGCACTCACCATGAGAAACAAACCCTGAGTAACTTCTTAGTAAATGGATCTGTTCAAGCCTTTCCTTGACTAAAACCTTAATAGTCCCACATCAAACTATGTCTCTTTTTTAAAACAAACTTAGTTTCATGCATCTAACCAGAGCTACTTGCAACACACACAGAAGCAGAGGCTGTAAATAAATATATTCACTGTCTTAACACTTGAATATCACAGTAACCACCTGGTTTTTTTCAAGAAATAATTGTATGTCTTCAAGCAAATAATTTAAAAACTCACCATTTTCCTTCCAACAGATTTTTACAAAAGGTAATTGCACATTTATTTATCAATTCTTTGCAAGGAAAATGACTTGTGTGGCAGACAAATACAATCAGAAATGAACCCTAAGCATACAAACCTTGAGTAGGGAAGGGGAGGAAAAGGGACATTAACAAAAGAAGAAATCACTGTTTAGAGCTGGAATTATGTGGATTTTCTCTCAGAATAAGTCATTAACCCTCAGAAAGGTTAGACACAAACTCTTCATTTCTCCAAGCAACACAGATATCCATCTACAAAGGGACTTAGCAGTTGTCTATATATTTACTAGGGAGGGGACAAGGGAACAGAGTTTGAATTTGTGTTACTGAGCTTTTGTCTCTTACCTTTTCATTTTGCAAAAGACCACATTCTCTATAAACAAAAGAATATGTTGACAGTTTTAGGCAGGAAGATAGGAGTTTATTCATGAATAAAGTTGCCTAGCCTCCATGCTGAAAGCCATGTTTAACCAATTATGTTAGCCTTAATTAATTGTCAATTTAAGTTAAATATTAACAAAAAAATTATCAAAAAATCATGCATATAAAAGGAATTCTCATGCAACATTAGTTTCATGCAAAAGGTGATCTATGAGTGAACCTGTTTTCATTAAGTAGTTTGGGAATCAAGACTTGTTTATCTCAGGACTGAACAGAGAATCTGCAAAGACATATTTGCTCTTACCTTTAAAATAGCCACCATAAATAGATTCACCTCCTTTTCCATTACCTACAGATTAAAAAGCAGCAATGAAACGACTTTTTGCTGAAAACTTTTTGTTTCATTTATACAAAAGCTGTGCACAACATTCCACCAGCACTTCACTCTCAAAATAGGACATTCCCTCCTCAGGCTCTTCTGGTCAAGCCCAGGATTTCAGGACACAGTGAAAACAGACATTTTGGTAAGGACAGGTATTTCAGGAAAGGAACTAAAAATCCAGGAAAACTCCTTCTGGAAACTTTTAAAACATTTCTAGCTCATTCAATGTTTTATTACTAATTCTAAACTCATTCAAACAGTTACATTCCTGTACCAACAGAACATCAGCAGTGCTGCCTCTACTGCAGACCCAGAAGTGAAAACAGTTCAGACTAGAGTCTGCACTTGAATTGTTTTAATAAGATGGAAAATCACAAAACCCTCCAGTGAGGAGTTTTTAACACACTTTTCCAAACAAATATTACATCAGTTGAAACATTTTAGAACTTCAAAAATTAACAATAAAATGGGTGATCTATGCTATACTTCACACAAATGCAGTATTTTAATGGCATTGTAATACTTCTGTTGTATTTTCTGAAGTTATGAACACAAAAATGACAACATTTCTGTTCCATTTCAAACTTGGCAGTTTTAAAAGCCCATTTTACCTTCACTGAAGTCCCCACCCTGAATCATGAAGTTTTTAACCACACGATGGAATGTGGTGCCTTTGTAGCACAGCTTCTTCCCAGTTGTTTTGCCGATTCCTTTTTCACCTGCAAGAAGGTGAAACAAAAACAATCTACAGATTGTCACTGAACAAATTCCAAGGGATTTCCCTCCCTAGTTCTAATGAACATGGGATTCATATCTAAAAGATAACACAGTCCTACCTGATGGCTTTTTACCATGCAGAAGGGGGATTTTTACAAGGGAACTCTGAGGTGAAAATTAAGCTGTTTCTTAAAAAATTTCCCTTCCCACCTCAAGAAGGAGTGTGTAAATCTACTCAGGATAATTTATTTAAAAACAAAGAGTTCAGGATAATGGTGGGTTAACTATTTTCTGTGGGTACAGCTACACTCCTGTGCAGCGTCACAGTATCCTTTTCAAACCACTCACACATCTGGATGTGGCAGATGATTTCCAGGAGAAAAGCCAGGAAAACAGGTTTCAACTCAGTTTCAATGTGACCCACACTTGGAAAAGAGGGATTGAGCTACTCCAAGTTTCCACACCTTCCCCAGTCCATGCACAGTGTCTGGCCACCCCTTTACACCAGCTGCAGATCAGGTGGGCTGGTGATTTTTGAGTTAGTGTTCCCACAATTTCAAGTTTCATTAGCACTTCTTCCAAAATTCAGAAGAGAAGCTGCCCTGGGCTTGTGGGTGAGGTGACAATGACTGGCAGGGCTGAGGTTCTAGGCAGTAGGTTCATGAGGGATCTATACTGGTCAAGAGACACTGACTTGAGCTTCCCAGAGGAGGGGAGCTGGCAGAACGTGGCAATTAACAATAAAAGGTTATATTAATAATATTATACACTGTGCAACAGTTAAAACCCCACATTATCCACATGCACAGGAGATGCTGTGCACTGAAACATGAATTAACAGAATAAATAACAGGACAAATAACCCAGTGTTCATTTTCATCCCATCACTGGTTATGGAATAGGTATTTGACAAACAGGTTAGAGGACATTGCACCAAATATTCTGCACTCTCAGAAATGCAGATACACTCATTACCCAGAGCCAACACTCCCCTGCTGCAATCTAATACTTTGCCACCCCAGTCATCCCAAATTTGCCATTCCAAGCCCATCACTGCCAGGATGAGGGCAAAGAGCAGTTTGTGGCACAAAACCCACTCAGGGCATTGCTGTATATCATCCCTCACTCATGGAATACAAGTTATTTACCTGCCTCTCCACACCCATAATCCCAGTCCACACCTCCTCCTACCCCATTTTTGATTTCCACATGAGTTATGCAAGCAATGCTGTTTATGACAGGGATGGACACACTCCTCCCCAAAACATGCCCCTCTTTGTGCAGCACTGAAAACCTTCATCAAACAACACCATGGAATATCTGCCTGCCTGTTTGGTCCTGTCTCAGGATGTCCCTCAGGGGTATGGAAAACCCCCTGGAACTGGATCCTGCATGGCACCTGAGCTGGTGCAGTTACATTCCTGTACCAACAGAACATCAGCAGTGCTGCCTCTACTGCAGACCCAGAAGTGAAATGCAGTTCAGACTAGAGTCTGCACTGGAATTGTTTTAATAAGATGGAAAATTATAAAACCCTCCAGTGAGGAGTTTTTAACACACTTTTCCAAACAAATATTACATCAGTTGAAACATTTTAGAACTTCAAAAATTAACAAT